AGGTGACCTGTGGAGTTTAACTTTTAAAAAAGAAAAGTGAAAGTTTCTCATCAAATCACACTGCCAAAATTTTGACATGCAACAGCTTTAATGAATTTTATCTTCATCATAAAACATTTGGAAAGGAGATCTAAATATTTAACTTGTGCATTCTTTACATCTATGTTTGGTTGCTGCCAGTCTTCTGTTTCGTTGCCTTTGTTGATACTTTTCTACACTTGTTTGTGTGTTACCGCCACCAATGTGTCGATCACTAGAATAATGTAAAACTGAGAAACTTGCAGATGAAATGTGTATCACTTTGCCTGTGTTCTTGTGACTGTACACAGTATGAGCGATTCACTTGCAAGAACATTGCTCCAAAGCGCTACTAGTGGTCAAAACCTCGACAGGGGACCTTTAAATCAAACAAATTCATTTACCTAAGGAGCATGAATGTACTCGTGGTGATGAACAGTTTTTGAAATATATTTTGAACATGTTGTGAGAAGTTTTTTTTACAAATGTTATTAACATTAGAAATAACTTTAATAATCTCAAAAATAAACAATAACTGTTTTTAAATTGGAGCTAGTGTTTCTCACTTTCTGACATGTGAGAGCAGGTTCCACTTTCTTTTGAAGGTTGATGATGGACCTGTCCTTTTGTTTGCAGTTGAATTTACTGCTTGTACCTATAATGGACAAAGATATTTAAAATATATATATTTTAATAATAATAAATATTTTATGGTCCTTTAGGCTCATGTAATCTTGAGGCGTGCTACAGACTTACTTAATGTAGTTATATTTCCTCTGTCAGTATCATTATCAGTAGTCCATTTTGTGTGAAGCCCTGTGCTGATCAAGCTGAATTTGTGTCTTGTTAGTGCCCCTTCCCTCACCACAAAACCTAATGGAGGTGGAGGTGCCAGTTGTGGGAAACAGACAGTGTAACTGTGAAAATGGAGTGGGCAGTATCACAGACAACATGATGTGTGCTGGGTTAAATGCTGGAGGGAAGGACTCCTGTCAGGTGATCATTTTTACACCTGTTTGTGTCAGATCTTACCTCCTGCAGAGATTGCTTCTCCTAAATGTTGCTCTCTGTAAAAGGGTGATTCTGGTGGTCCACTGGTGAGTAAGCAGAGCAGTCGCTGGATCCTGGCTGGAGTTGTGAGTTGGGGATACGGTTGTGCTGATCCTAATTTACCAGGAGTCTACACCAGAGTGTCCCAGTATGAAAACTGGATCAACAGCCAGATCACAGGCGACCGGCCAGGCTACGTCACCTTCAAGTCCAATGGAACTGACGGTGACCTCAGCGTCACCTGTCCGAACCTGCCGCCACCTCTGACCACACCCCCTTCAACAACCGAACGTGAGTTCCTGCCATGT